CCCATATTATGCATATCTACCTCATCCCATATACATATCTACTACGAGCTGCTAAGGTGACTACTTATACTTTCCTACTTGAATCATGATGATTGAAACCGAAGAAGCCCATGATCAAGATCTCTTATATAGTCTGTTGAATAAAATAACATCTAGAAACATCCGTTTCCGATGTAGGTATGCCTTAACTTTGAGACTGTTGGGTCACCGCGTAGGCCACTTGGCTCGCCTCCAGCGCTTCCATTTGATTTCCTTAGAGGGACATTGCGCTGAATATACTAAGAGAGTGCCTGACTCCGATCTTCTCAACGGTTCTGCTCTTCTTGCTTTGCCTCATTGATTGACTCATTGACGTGCCTGGCAAGAGGTATGTGTAATTGGTGGCTTCCGTGGCTACAACCTAATACAAGCCTCATCCCTAGATACAGATGAAAATGAGCTTTGAAGCAGAAAGAACAGTGCAAAAGTTTTTTATACATGAAGTCTACTATCTACTCATCAGTATGATGCCTGCGCATCCGTCATCTACTATCAGAGGATCAAAGGGAAAGGGAGGGGATCAGAAAAAAACAGATCAGCGAGTGCGGAATCACTCGAATAATACCAGATGAGTAACGGATTAAGCGTGAGATAAGTGCCAGAAGTTTTAATGGATGAAGCAGAGAGACGACAATAATCTATTATACAAGTTAAATAATCACTTACGTTTTATCATTACTATTTTTGCAGCGTAGTAGTAGCAGCAGGAGTAGCAGCACTAGTAGCAGTAGTAGTAGCGTACCCATTCGCAAGGTATGTTATACTTTTACCTTTCTTTATCAAGAATCCACTTCTCTTAAGTCTTTGTAGGTCCCACCCTTCCAGCTCGTCGAAGCTTTTGAAAGCCGTCTTCAATCGTTTGGCCGTCATTAGAGAAGGTATGTCATGTCATGTTACAAAATGGAGGTAGGGTTCTTTTGCTTTTTCTCCTACTGTTTCCCATGTCGTGTTGATAAGCTTTGAAGCGGAGAGAACACAACTGCAGAAGAGCGTGCAACTATTCGATAACCTGAAATAAGAACAACCGAGTAACTAGACCTACTTACGAGATACTAAAAAATGAGGAGGAATGTAGTCAAGACTCTTCAACTTTATCTTTAGTCAGTAACTCGCTTCTTTTCAGTTCTCGAGTACGCTACATCTAAAGGTGGCAAGATTGCTGCGCGTCCCCCCGTTTGTTAATAATTAAAATGCTCTTTTCCACCGTCCTCCTTAGCTTGGGAGTAGGAGACAGAGTGAAAACAAAAGATATTAACATAAAAAGTGACTTTGTCTCAGACTTTAGTTAAGGCTCTCACTATTCCACCTTTGACTTCTGCATCCCTGAAAACAAGTACGGGGACTAAGGTAGATAGATAGATAGAGAGACGTACCCACTCACGGGGTATAAGATCTTTTAATTTTTAGAGGTTTGTTCACTACTTAAAGTTTAAGTTAATAGAAACGCCAATAACTACATACTTACTCGCTTAACATCAGTCGGCACGTCTCCCCTCAGATGGATTTGCCGTCCGTGTGTCCAGAAGTCTGCGGCCGTCTGTGCTATTGTGGCTGTGACTGTACCATCATTCTGTGCAAACATATCCATCATTAGAACGGAGCTAATTCCACCGGTGGAGCACGTCTATCATAAGATAAAGGAAAAGGAGCTTGTAAATTAGAGCTTTATAGTACTCCTCCTCGAGGTTGTAGTAATACGAGGTTGTGGTAATAAAGAGCCTTTTAATGTCTCAGGCTTTTACCTTTCAGGAGGTAGAAGTAGAAGAAGAACTAGATGTAGATACTAAAAGGTGGGAGGTCGTAGTTACTTTCAGGAGGTAGAAGTAGGAGAAGAACTAGACGTAGTTATAGATACTAAAGAGTGGGCCTCGGTGGAGGTCGTAGTTACTTATACTTTTAGGAGGTACTAATAGGACCAGAAGAGGTAGTGCAGTACATAGTCGGGATTGATATCAACTTTTCAGGAGGTAATAGGATCAGAAGAGGTAGTACAGTACATAGTCGGGATTGGTGGGAGGTGGAGATCGTCAGCTTCCAGAAGGTAGCAGGAGAAGAGGCAGTACATTATATTGTCGGGATAGAACAAGATTGGTGGGAGGTGGAGATCGTTAGCTTCCAGAAGGTAGTAGGAGTAGGAGAGAACTAGGGGATGTGACTAGACCACACCTACCGCCGCAAGAAGAGAACTTCTAATAACACAACTTACTACTGATTAGAGTGATAATAAATGTTGTTCTCATAAAGGCGCGACCATTCCGTTTCTCTTCAGTTCATCGTTTGCAGTAGCGCTCCTCTCAAAGCCGTGGGCGTTTTGGCCATGGTGTAGGTGCTCCTCAGGATGGATGAAATCGTTTGCATGCATCCCTCCTCCTCCTCCTCGTCCAAATAATCCATCTTCTCCACCTAGACCTTGACCTCCTCCTCCTCTTAATAATCCATCTCCTCCTCCTCCTCCTCCTCCTCCTAATAATCCATCTACTTCTGCTTCTGTCCTCGTCTTCACCTGTTCAAAGGACGAGCCTGCTTTTGAAGATGTAGTACTTGATCTGTCTGCGTCTGCTTCTGAAGCTTCCTCTTCATCCCCAGCAATGCACTCGTCCTGCTCGTCACCATCAACTTCTTGACCTTCATAAGACTTCCTAGACTTGCGTCGACAAGCACGGCCATCTTCTTGTCCCCTGTGAAGAACATCTTGCCCTTGTTTAGAGGTTGAGAGTTGGCATCTCTAGCGCGCATATCTATGGCTTTCCTACTTGAAGAAGCCATAGACTAGAGATGCTCTTAGATGATAGGTCAACTTCCAACCCTTAACTTGTCCTGTCGAGCGCTGTTGTCCTGTCTTTCCTTTCGTCCATTGCTTCTCCTGTCCCTGCCATATTTCCTTCGCTTCTCTATCGTATTGAACTTGAAGGAAACTTTTCTCAACGTCAATACTGGAATTAGACCAGGTAAAGCAATAATTGCTTTACATCCCCCGCTAAAAATATTATTTAAGGCTCAGCGTTCAGTGGTCATTGGAGGTGGTCACTGAGATCGAAGAGGCGACCCCTTGAGAAAACAGGGGAAAATGAAGGGAAAAGGGGAGAGCTTTGAAGATGGTCTCTTCCTCTCAGAATTAGTGACCACTGACTGCTGATCTTTAATAATAGCAATGGGGAATGTAAAAACCCTGGACATGAAGAAACAGCCGACGTGGCGTCTTTTCTACTACCTGGGAACAAGAGAGACAACTACTTACATCAGGGATGGTTTACCGTTATTAGTCATTCTGGGGAATGTTGTAAAAATAGTAACTTGATGGAGGCGGTGAAGATCATGGAAGCGGCTTAATAGTAATTTGGAGGTACTTATGTTAATGTTTCACATGTTTGTGTTTCAGAAAGCCTGAGCCCCTAATTGAAGTTGTGCTATGAAGATCTGCATCTTGATGGCGTTTTTTCCGTGTTGCTAGATCAAAGCCTGTGTGGCCCATAAGGGATTCCTCCTTACCCAAGCAAACGTGGTGGAAAAGCCAAGCAGCCAAGACGAGACTGATCCGCCGTCGACTGGTGCGCCTGATGAAGCTCAAGCTCGATCTCATTAAGTTCGATCTCAAGGTCGACCTCACGTCGCTCGACTTTCTTGGGAGAAGCTCCAGCTCAAGCTCAACGTTCTTGCTCAAGCTCGACGTTCTTGTCGGCATCTTCATCGTTTTGAGTGTGCTGTGGCCTCTCCTGTCACCACTTGCACTATCCCTACTTCTTGATGTGGTCGTATCTTCACTTCGTAGGAGGTCTAGCACTTGTGAGAACATGCTTAATGTTGGATGTTGCATTCTTATTGCAGCTGGTGTGCATGTTTGGAGAGACCACTTCTGCTGACCAGTGTGGATGTGCAGGAGGTGACTGAGCGACTGTTACTTGTACGGAGAAGCGGCTGACTGTGGTCCGGCTACCACCTGAGTTGTATCTTCAGATTACGATTCGCCTGGATTACGACTCGCCTGAAGAACCATTCTACAACACTTGAAAGGAAGGAACGGTCTAGAACGGTCGTTCGCCATCAACTTCTTATTTTCAGTCTTCAAAAATGGAAAAAGTTTTAATAAATACAAATACCTCCAATCCGAGTCACGTCAAATAGATGAGTGACGACCGCAGAAAGTGCTTAGGCTTCTTTTGCCACGTTGTTGTTGCCCTGCCTGAAATCTTGCCCTGCCTAAAAGGACAGGCCTATTGCCCTGCCTAAAAGGGCAGGCCTATTGCCCTACCTAAAAGGGCAGGCCTATTGCCCTGCCTAACAGGGCAGGGCTATTGCCCTGCCTAAATGGGCAGGCCTATTGCCCTGCCTGAAGGAGCGGCGATACTCGTATAGTGGTACAATCGTCTGCAAACGGCTAAAGTCGCATCTTTCTTCTCCTCATGATTGTAGATTATGTACTCGTTTAACGTTGTATTTGTTGTTGCTAGAAATTTAGAGACGTCAAGGGAAAGGTCTCCCGACCTAATGTCAAAGAAGACCTAGAAGAAAGCAGTATGGTAGAAAGCAGTGAAAAAGGTATGGTAGAAGCGAAGAATTTGAATTATGTATGTATTCTTCTCGTATTCAGTAGCTTGATTTTGATCATAAGGGAAAAAGAAGAGAATCCTTGTGATCGAAATCAGGCTCCCAAATACCGGAGCCATTCATAATGTACTGATTCTAGTGGGAAATCAGCAGGGTAGGGAAGTAAAAGGGTGTAGTAATAAGGGTGTTCGCTCCACTCCAAATGACGCTCCGTTCATTCATTCAGCCACTCTAAATAACTCACAGTCGCTCAATGCCATGGATTTCTGAAGAAATTTTTTTGGAATTTTTGTCTTGTGGAAGATGGTCCCCTGTTTTGATGATGCGAAGTTGCCTAGAACTTGCCTGCCGCTGACGATTTCGTCCCCTGTTTTGATGATGCGGAGTTGTTGCCTAGAACTTGCCTGCCGCAGACGTCGATTTCCAATAGTTTACTTCGTGGAAGAGCAAGAGGATGTCTTTCAATATTTTTCATCTCTATGCTCTTCTTGATCTGCATCTTGAGGACTTGCTTCTGGGAAATGAGAATCCGGCTACTTGTCAAAATCTACTAAGTAACTAAACTTTCCGAAATATTACTCTTTCATCTGTGCATTTCTCTACAAAGAAAATCCATATTCGCGGTATCAACATGATGTAACTGCTAGTTAAAGTTATTTATGTTCGTGTTTTTGTACTTTTTTTAGTGCAAGAAACGTGCTGAACCATGATAAGGACTCTACGATGGAGTACTTGGTAATTATCGATGACAAAAAAAGACTTCTCATGTGGCACATTGTGTTGGGCTTTTTTCGTGTATTTTTCTTATCAGAATTTTGAAAATTCATTGACTCTGCCGTGAAACTCGACATCTATTAGCATTACCTGATCTTGAACTCGATCCTCGAAGACAGGCGGGTGGATGATATTACTTAGCGTTAGCCATAGCTTGAGCATAATAGATAGAATTAATTGGTATAACTATATATATAATGTTTGGTAAGCAGTCAGTGAATGTGAAATTACTTCTATTTGAATCCTTGTCCTAGTACTTTATAAGATGATTTTGTATCCTTATCGTCCTGTTACCTTACTGAGGTGATCGTCATCGGGCGCAAATTTAGTATCGGAGTTTGTAATCCGAATCTAGTCCTCATCGCAGCATTGTGGTCACTATTTGTGATTTCAATCTTCTAGAAGGAACAGTTCTAACCATCAACAAGGCTTATATTTTTGTAATTGTTTCTTTGCCACTCACACCTAGACCCTTCAGAATGACGAGTCATCAGCACTTTGTTCGTCGTCCGCAGGAGGCTGACCCGGAAAAACCATCATAGGCTGGAAAAAAGGCATTGGGGCTACCATACCTTGAAGAGGTTGGAATTGGATTGGGAAACAAATGACAACTCCGTTTCAGAGATTTTTCAATGTCGACATTCTCTTTCTCAAAGATCATGACGCAATGTTCCAATTTTTCATGAGTCTAGTTCCAAAAAACGTCTATATCTAATAAAAATCCTAAAAAATAGTACATGTAGCCATATTTAGCTAAATCCTGAAGGTATGATAAATTAGTATCTGGATTTGTACTAAATACCTGAAGGCATGTTGATCGGCATTCCAGCGTTGGGCATGCCTCCTGCTACTTGCGCAGGACCTCCCATGCTAGCTCCACCTGCTCCACCCACTGCTCCAGGAGATTTTCCGACAGAGATGTTAGAACAGTTCTTCCGTTGTTGAATCAAAAACTACCATGAACATTGATCATCTCCGCCTAGCGTTGAGTCAAAAACTGCATTGAAGAACATTGCCGTTGTTGAATCAAAAACTACCATGAACATAGCGTTATTGTCTCCCTCTTCTTAACAACATTGATCACCGGTCCGCCTTTTGATGAGTTGCCCTTCGCTATATCGCCCAAGAATTTCAAAATCGCACCCAAGGTATCCCCACCACCGAAAAGCGGTTTCGGACGCATATCGGAGTATGAACAAAGTGGGTTGAGTCATTCTCAAATACAAGTACAATACAGAAGATCTACATCGACAACAAGTACCCCACTACTTCTTCTAGTCAGAGCAATTTCTAAGGTTTCACAGCTCGCATGGCATGGAGTGCATGGATCGCATGGAGAAGCATGGAGCCAAAGGGGGAGCTTCTTGCGCCCCTTAAAGCTCTGCGCTCCATGCACTCCATGCTACTCCGCGCACCATGCGTGCTATAAAGATAGTATCTATTGTGCTTGATCATATGGCTATGCCTGAATAAGATCATCCAGTAGGCAGCTACGGATCATCTTCATCGCCCTTCCCGTCTGTCATTGATGTCATTATCCTCTCAAAATCAATTACATTCGCGATCGTGCGTCACCTTATCACTATCACCATCAGCACGACGACATAGCCATAATATAATTGGTGGACCCTTCGCTGCCTTGTCGGTCATTTGTTGTGTTACGTTTGCCATTGTCGCGGCTTGAAATTTGAGCATGTCCACGAGGCGGTCTAGCACGTTTTCTAGTCTGACAGTCGCTGCCATAGGGAAGGCACTAGGTTGAGCACGAGGTGGCGGAGGCGGAGTGGCGGGCTGTTTGGATGGACGTTAAGGTACTTGTTAAAAGAGCGGAACCGGAAGATGATGAAGAAGATACAACAGATAAAATTGTAAATGTTCTTGAATAAAGGATACAATTACAATAACAATGCACAAAAATTATCCATTCAGACTCGTTTGTGTTTGGAGACAGCATGCTCAAAGTCATGAAGAGTACTACACGTGGGTGCATGCTCACGCGTACCGAAAAGAAGACAAGGTCAGACAAACCATCGATGAGCTGCAAATGAAAAGAGTACTACCCTGGTTGTAGTATTTCCAGCAGCCACAGGTGTCACGCCTGCGACAGCTACTGGAACGCCATTCTTTGCTGCGCTTGCTGTGATATTGCCTGCTAGTGCTGTCGAATTCGCGTTGAGAGCTTTGGCTAGTTTACTAGCAGGCACCGCGACCTTAGCTTTCACTTGCACCTTGGCCCCACCAGTGGGCTGCTTCAGTGTGCCGCATTAGAAACGGAGGAAGAAGATGGCTTCTTGGTGGAAAATTATATGATAATTCATTAGAAGAAACGGAGGAAGAAGATGGCTTCTTGGTGGAAAATTATATGATAAGTGGCGAGGATTGATCATAGCCAAGAACCAATAAGGTGCTGGAGATGAATTTGTATTTGAATAGTTGGAGTGTCTTGTAGTAGCAGTAGCACCGAAGCCAGGAGGCAGTAGCACCAGTAGTACCATATGAGGTCTTAACCTAGCACACTGGAAGAGCGCGATTGTTGCTGTTTACTCGTCTGAGTGCCAGCACGAAGACCTCGATGCCGTTGGCGAAAGGCGGCTCTCTCACGGTCTAGCATCTGGCTCTTAGAGGACGAAAGTAGCTTGCGTTTCGTCGAAGATGACTTTTTGTTTTTCATTCCACCACTCTTTGCCTTCGAGTTTGAGGACGCAAAAGCCAGTGGTACAGGTTTAGAATCCTTGTTTTTGCCGTCTTTGAGCAATGGAAACCCAAGCTCAGGCTGTCCTTCTTTCTTCCACTTAGACGAAGTACTTGAGGATGACTCAGAGGAACTACTGAGTACCTGTCGAAGTTCCATCAAGACGTCTGCCATTTGGTCGAAGTCTCCCTTATTGACTAAACGTGCGCCGGAACGCGTTGAAGTCGACAAAGCCTGTGAGTGTTGTGACTGTGCAAGCCGTGACTGCGCAAGCTGTGACTGCGCAAGCTGTGACTGCGCAAGCTGTGACTGCGCAAGCTGTGACTGTGACTGAGACTCTAGTGCTGACAGAGACTGTAGTGACTGCTTCTTCGTACTACTGGTCGTTTTCTTACTCTGAAGATGTTCTTGCTTCCTCTTGCCTCTGCTTTCTTCGGTGCTATGCTCCTGCAGGAACGAGAACGTGAACGCTCCTGGAGAAATCGCATTATGAGGTCTGACACGTCTGCCAAGAGTTACTCTCTTTGTTCTCCTTTCCGTTGATAATCTTTTAGACCACTCCTCCTGATCTTTTAGACTCTGTTGTCCTCTCCTCGACCTCGAAGCTGCTCCTCTAGCAGTCATTTTCGCTCTAGAAGCTAGCAGACTCAGCTCCGCAATCTTCTTTTCTCTGACAGCCGCAGGCAGCAAAGATTTCAACTGTTCTACCAGCATCAAAGCTGAAGAGGTGCTGGAACTGAATAGGTCGAGAGGTCCTCCACTACCACTAGTACCTGGTCCACCTGCTGCTGGAAATCCTCCTGCACTACTTAGCGCTGGCGCTGCAGCTTTTCACTAGTATTGAAGGTTCCTCTACTTCCTGGTTGACATTGAGTAGGTAAGTTCCCCTTTTAAGTACTGTTTCCCCGTATTTTGTTTCCTGTTGTTTAAGAAGTCACACGATACTAATACTCAACAACTCAGTATATCATTCCACATGGGAAGATGAAGATAGTGAAAAACGTAGCCTTAAACTGCCAGTAGTTGTGCTAAAGTCCACTCCTGCACCAGTGCCGGCAAAGGATAACGCTGCAGACGTATTAGAGGCTGCGACATTTTTGCATCCTTCAGCCCATCCCTGACCCTTTTCCAACTTGAAAACAAGTCGGGGACGATGGTAGTGGAGAATGCAATGTGGTAAGTGTAGCCCATAAACGTAGTTGGTTCAGCAGTGACACCAAAATTTTGTGTGATTGCTGGATCAGTACTATTAGACTCGGCTTCAATCCAGCATCTCGGTCCCCTCATCTCGACCCCTTTCCCCTTGTTTTTCATGAGAGTCATACAAGAAGGCAAAAGGGGATCAAGATGCCGAGAAAGATGGATGGAAGCTACTTAACCCTAATGCTAACACTGCCACCCGAACCACTATCGTCTGTTGAATCCGCATCGACTATTTCTAAGTCCAAGTCTACAACACTGTCGGAAGATACGTTCATCGATGCTGCGAGGCCATCTTGGAGAGCATCGACGAAGCCTGGGGACTGGATCAAATCAGCTATCATTTTTAGAGCTTGTCGTGCTTGATGCGGCCCAATAAATAATCATTCTTTCATGATCTTTTTAAAGTCATCTTCATTCTAATTCTAGTCAACACCTTTATTGTTGGCGTGTTTTCTTTTCCCCTTGTAAAAAATGCCAGAGTTCTTGTGGTTGTCAGAGATGCATTCTTTCATGCTCGAAGAACAGACGATGAAATACGCAGTCAACAAGCCTTAAACTTTGATTAGCCCCGATCGCCAGCGTAAGGTCCGCACCGGTGCTCACCACAGTATTCGTCTCGTTAGTGGAGGCTGGTGGCGGGTCGGTTGAGGAAGAATCCGACACGTCTCCGACATCACCAAGTGGTGTAAAATTTTCGTCTGAAGTATGAAGCGAAAAAGTGCACTCACACTCAAGAAATTGGCTAGGATTTAAATAGGAAAATAGCCACTTTTTTGAGTGTGAGTGCACTTTTTTCTTTCATATGAAGAGGAGGCACTAAATTCGAAGCTACGTCGGGAGTTAGGGGTTGAAAGTTGGCATCTCTAGCTCGCATATCTGTGGCTTTCCTACTTGAAGAAGACATAGAGACGCGCATAGAGATGTCAACTCCCAAGCCTTAAGTGAGGGCTCTTCGGTTGAGGGGTGGGGATCATCTTCAGGGACCGAGGTTGTCTCCCGTGCCTCCACTGGCTCAGCTGTAGTTGCAACTGGCGCAAACGTTGCAACTGGCGCTACAACAGTCGTTGTTGTCGGAGTGAACGTAGTCGTTGGTAAGATGTAGACGTCTGCTGAGAGCACAACAGTTGCATTTAAATCGTTCGCGTTGAGCTTCTGGGTCAGAATGGACCTGAGCACTTCTCCTCCTGGATCACCATTTCGCGGCCATGCCTGATTCACCCGCTCAACAGAGCTGTTGGGGACTCCAATCGTAGCGGTTGCCTGTAAGGCTGATGTTAGACAGGCAGGCTGCGGTTGGTATAGGAGATCAGAGTAGATTTTAAGCTGCTACAAAATGATCGGATTCGGATTTTACTTATGTTGTTCATGTTGTCGATAGTTGTACCATGATGTAACTCTTCGTATTCCTTGATGATATCTATAATATGTTATACAGTTTGCGTAGTTCGTTGGTTCTAGTATGGTGATCAACAAGAACAAGAAGTTCTAGTATGTTGAATTGGAAAAAAATGGTTAGAAGAAGTTCTTGCCTTAACAATTGATCGCTTGCCATTCCACTAGTTGTATTTGAAGGTGCAGGGCCCAAATCCACGTCTACCACGTAGTTTTCCGGCAAGTTCACCATACATCCGAACGTTTGCTTCACGGCCGATCTGAACTTTGGTCGCAATAAGATTCGGTCTGGGGAAGCCGCTACCGTTGTCGGTACTCGCAACTGCAAGCTCATTGCTCGCATAACTTAGAGCGACCGCTCATGTCAAAGAAGGCCATGTTGTCAAAGAAGACCAACATGATCCTTGGTTAGCGTTAGATCATATTTTCCTTCTTGAAACAAAACGTCTCTTGAAACAAGACTGAGACCACTTAGACTTCTCAGAACAAAATGGACCAATAGTATTGGAAGGAGCCTTAAATAACCGAGATATCCGAATCGTCAGCACTCGGTGTCGTAGTGATGGTAGTGGTGGTCGAAGTTGTAGAACTAGAAGTTGTAGTAGTTGTACTAGTAGTTGTAGAAGTTATAGTAGTTGTACTAGTAGTTGTCGATGTTGTGCTTTCAGTCCTGGTTGTTGTGACCGTCTCACTGGTGGTAGAAGTTCTTGTCGCGGTCTCACTGTTGGAGCTTGCCCAAAGTCATCTCGCAGATCTGACCATCTTTGAGGAGTTTCACCCGTAAGAAAGGAGCCAGAGATGCTTCTGAAGATGAATCGGGGCAATCCTTAACAGTAGTACTTGTCGTTTGCTGCGATGCCTGCGCTGCAATTCGCTGGATCGAATTCACTGTAGTAGTGTCAGTCCCAGATGTTGCGTTAAAATTGGTGTCAAAGGTGCCGTCGAAGGTCCCATTTCCAGCATCGAAATCACGTCCGAGGGGAGATTAGAACAAGCGTAGGCCATAGCGGACTCAAGTAGATGCTACTTCTTCTACGTGCTGAACTCTACTATTTGAAAACTGCAAACGTAAATGAGTGCTGAATATTTACTAAGGGCTGTGGGACGCAGTCTCTGTAGCACCAATCCATTTCTCTTGCCGCGTTTTTTATCTATCTATATTTCTCAAACTCAAAATCCCAAATCATAAGGAAAAGCAGTTTGAGCACTTCTAGCAGCAGCGGCTGCAATTTCGTGAATCGTAGATCCAGCTGTCGTATTTGGCGCCACAGTAGTCGTCGCAGCGGCCCTTTGTTGTGCTGCTATCTGCTGCACACTTGATAAGGTAGTTGTGATGGTGTCCGTAGAGTTCATGTTCTTGTCACTGTTGTCGTCCGTCGTTTGTATAGTGCGAGGACCAGCATCTGTAGTTGTCGTGTTGAAAGTGTAGCGTTAGAAAAGGACAAAATCAAAAAAAAAATTCATGTTGATCATTCATTCAACATCCTGTACAAACAACTACAACATTACTAGGTGGAAGAACTTCTGCGTAAGCACCACGAGCATTCATACTGATACTGTTACTGAGTACGAACAGTAGTTCTTGTAGAATAGCTGCGTAAGGTGCTGAACTGCATAGATCATATAAAGTATGACATAAGGATCTTCTTGTTTTTTGTCAAGTCTGAGCATCACTGACCATAAGTAGAAGCCACCACTGCAGGGATCACACTCGTGGCATCCGAGTCATCATCGTCTGTGTCAGGTCCTGCTGGTGTCGGAGTCGTCATTTGAGAACGTACCTGATTGGCTATCTGCTGCACAGCAGAGCCAGAGCCGCCACTTGTACTATTAGAGCTCACTTAATCTTTTTGGAAGTGCTCACCCTAATGGTAATGATCCATCTTATACTTAATCTTTTTGGAGATGGATCAGGATCATTAGGGGAAGCCTTAATACTATTACCGCCGCCTCGATTCGGTGCCGCTGTAGTGGTTGTAGTATGAGAAGCTGCTTCTCTTGCGATATCTTGGATGCGAGAGCCGCTTGCTGTGCTATTGCTACGTGCTGTTGTGGTGGTTTCTGAAGCCGGGACAACAGTACTGTTGGAATCTTAGAGTTAGAAAAAAACTATCTCCACTACAACTTCTCTGGAATGTTGGAAAAAACTATGGAGGAAACTTTTGATTTCTTGGTAAAAATCTCGTTCTAGAGCGATAACAACCCTAGAACAACAGAATCTGAATCTGGATCTGGATGTGGATGTGGCTCAAAATATCAAGCATAATTGTCGTCTATCGAATCTGGCAGCACCGTTGCCGAGTCTTCACGGGCAGCTGTAGTCGCTGTTGTTTGTGACCTTGTAGTGTTGGCGATCTGCTGAATAGGTGAGCCACCTGATCCTGTACTATTGGTTCCCGGAGTTGTGCTTACCCTAGAAGCACCAGCAGTCGCCGACCGGGAGGTAGAAGAGTTACTATCACCTGGAGAAGAACCGCTATCCGGTGCGGCCGTACTTCCGTTGCTGGTACCACCCGACTCTGCAGAAGAACCGCTATCCGGTGCGGCCGTACTTCCGTTGCTGGTACTGGCTGATTTTGTAGTCGAGCTACCCGAGAGAGCGGCCGCTACTTGCTGCGCAATATTAGAACCAGCTGTTGTTGTGCCTGCCCTATTGCCAGTTGCAGCCTTTGTGGTTGAGCCGTCCGATGACGTACCGTCAGAATCACTATCATCTGCTGCGGTCGTGCTCGCAGTCCTGCCTGCTGATTTTGTAGTCGAGCTACCCGATAGAGCGGCCGCTACTTGCTGCGCAATATTAGAACCAGCTGTTGTCGTCCTTGCATTGTTGTCGCCAGCTGTTGTCGCAGGTTTTGTGGTTGAGTCACGTGAATCTCCAGAGTCGCTATCCGCTGTAGTTGTGCTTGCTCTTCCAGGCGACCCTGCCTTTGTAATCGAGCTACCCGATAAAGCGCCTGCTACTTTCATTTGTGCACTATCAGTACCTGCTGACGCTGTGGTTGTGCTTTCATTATCTGAATCAGAAGCCGTAGTTGTTCTCGCCTTTGTGGTTGTTCTACCCGAAATCGTTCCGGCAATTTGTTGCGCACTATTAGCTGCTGCGGTTGTGCTTTTGTTAGCAGTTGCAGGCCTGCTGCTCGAGCTGCCGGAAGCGGCTGCTGCTATTCGCTGCGCACTATTGGCGCCTGCTGAAGATGTCGTGCTGGTGCTTGCATCATGATCATCACTGTTCGCTGACTTTGTACTAGTTGAGCTACCTGAAATTGCAGCGGCTATTTGCTGCGCGATGTTAGCACTCGCTGTTGTCGAAATCGAAATTCCTCCTCCATCTGTATCTGACGATGATCCTGCTACATTTCCATCCGTTGTGGCACTCTTGGTTGTCGCATCCGCGTTCGTCCTTCCGGCGCCCCCTGTGGTTGACCCCACCGGTTGCTTTAGGATATGAGCCGCCTCAACTGCAACACTGGAGAGCAATAAGCTGATGCAACGTGTTCTGAGCATCCTCGTTGTCTGAATTTTACCGTCTCGCCGTATCCGAAAGGTACTGCGGGGTCCTCCACTTCGGCCAATGAAGACTGTCGTGGCCATTCCGCCTCGACCTTGCGGCCATTCCTGGCCGCAGCCAAAGGGAATCATTTTTATCTCATGACGAATTACCTCATATGTTCATGTAGGTACTGTGTTTCTCTTGGAGAAAATCGAAATTGTATTTACTACTGTACTACACGTAATCTTCACTGAGCAGGCCCTACATGCTAAATCTTCTTTGAAAGGCAGTTTTTGGGTACGACAACTTTTGTTTTCTTGCGTCCTTCACTCTGTGTTTCGCTCGTCTGGGTTCATCATGCACAAACCCTTTTTTGGCGGCGCTAGGAGCAAGTCATCGTCATATGGGTCGTCGCAAACGCTAAAGCGTATCAGCCTCCGAAAACAGGAATAGTCCTCGGCGGCCGTTGCACTTTTGTGCAAGTGCATCCGCAGAAAGATGATAAGAAAATTTTTTGAGTGAAAAATCATTCTTGACATGATATTAAGCTGAAGTTTTTTCTTCGAAATCACAACATTATCACAGTAGTTGTTCTTATCCATCGGTTCACAATTTACGGTTTTTGTTGTTTCTCGAGCAGCAGTTTTTTAGAGCAGGGTGGCGGCAGCATTGCACAGACACGTTAATTGGTGTCAAAATCACACATGATCTTCTGCCATTAGAAAAAATGGACTGATCACTTGTTTATTTACATACTGAATCACACAGACAACTATATTCCCCCTCGTTACAACAAGGAATGATGAAGAGATATGAATTCCTGACTCCAAACTAGAGTCGCTGCAATACTAAAGCTGTCGAGCTTGCTTCTAAGAGCATTAGCGAGATGCTGTAAAAACAAGCTCAGAAGCTATTCTATGATACAAGAGAGACATGCATGTAGACGGAAAAAGACGTAATAGACGTAGGATGATGTTCATCTTGCATGCTGCTATGATGTAGACCCTCAAAGGTGAGAGACGGGGACCGACTAAAATTTGTGCACACGACCATGTTGTGACATCACCTCCACATGAAGCAGGCGCACACCTAGTATGATAGATTATGAGCAGTAGAACTCAGGGTGAAACTGTTTGTTGGTGCTGTAGTAGTAGACGAATTCGACATGGGAGTCTGTTTTTTTTTACTGGGCGTACACATATTCTGTTCTGGAAAGATTTTCAATGCTATGTAGAGGTAAACACTTCTGTTCAATCGATTTGACTTGTTTTCGACTACATTGAAGCTTTAACCTTTGTTGAAATCTAATCAGCATGGACAACGTGCTATCGCTTCTTCAACTTCCGCAAGAAACAACAGCACTGAAGCTACACAATATGAATAAAGCAGCATACCATAACTTCTTTGTTGCTTCATCTTAGTCAGAAATCTTGCCAACCCCTGCTTGCTCTAAATTCCTTTGCTATTCTGAATCTGTTAATAAATCAAAATCAAAATCTGTCACCATAGAAATAAACAATCTATTCTCCATTTTCCTATCTGAAAACCAATACAAAACAATCTTACGTAGTGTGATACGATTTGGATACAATCTTCAAAATTAATCTGACAATCTTCATCTGCTTTTCTTGATAAGTTATAACGATATTTCTTTGAAAGCTTCTAGGCAAAATCTTCAACTTGAAAATGACTCTGTGATGTACTTTTCTTTGAATCTTGTTGTTATTGTTGTAGTAAACTGTACTACCTGATGAGTAAACTTCGATTCTTGGTTTTTTGAAAATGTCGTCAAAATATACCGAAAACTGCATAAAATACGTCGAATAATGAAAGTAACCAAGTTTTTTAGATTTCGTTTGGTTGCTGAGTACAAACTTTCAAATCTTCAAATTCTTATCTTGAAATCGTTCTTCGAAATGTTCATATCTTCGGGTCAGTGCTTGAAATTCTGATAACAATGATAGTCATAGCTGGTTGGTTCCGGATTTTCTTGTTCTGTTGATAAATCGTAGAAGTCATATATATAAATTTCTAGTACTAAATTGGATGAGCTAGTCTGAAATCACAATATCTTTTAACAGCTTATTGGCGTGAGCCATTTCTGCTTGAAAGTTATATTCAAAATTTAGGTTAAAAAGGCTTAAGATAAGTTATTAGAAAATTTCATCAATCTGTTTGAGTTGTTTGAGAAAATGAGAAAGTAACAAATGACATTGTTAAATGTTGGCGACAAGAATACTACGACCTGAGATGTTAAGAAGCTAATTTCGGAAGATCAAAACTGAGAAAAAAAACATGTGAGAATCTTACTCGTCTGTCCAATTTGAGAGGGTGATGAAATGGTCGTGATGGATCCAGTCCACCCCACCGCCACCGGATGGCACGATAACGATTTTAGGGATATTGTAATGTTGACTTGATATCTACTTCAACAGAATCAGAATCAGAGTTGTTCTTAATACTTACTTGTTTTTGTTAGTTGACGTTAGTAAATCCAAAAATAATAGACAGAGTTTGTTTTCTCTAAATTAGACTGAGTTAGATACACGATACGAAACTGCCGAGATGATTCTTGGGAGTCTAAAATGATCACGATCTTCATTCTTAGGCGTTTTTGTTTGAGAAAGGAAATAAACAGATTTTTTTCTTATCGATGACTGAGCAAGAAATAGCTCATCTCGAATGTAGACTGAGTTAGAAAAACGATACGCACATTAGATCCTTGAGAGAGGTGGACTGAGGGTCCACTCTTCAAGAAATCTAAGCATAGCACAAGTAGTAGACTGAGTTAGAAACACGATACGATTAGACTGAGTTAGAAACACGATACGATTAGACTGAGTTAGAAACACGATACGATTAGACTGAGTTAGAAACACGATACGAATGAGGTTATTTGAATTAAAAAATACTGCTTAATAGATGACAAGCGAGTACCACGATTTCCATGTCTTCAGCTTCATAAGAATATACTATGATAGTGAAAATTTTCAGCATAAGAATTTAGTGTTAGTGAATATTTCAGCATAAGAATTTAGTGTTAGTGTTATCTTCTAATACAGTCGAATTGAGTTGTCTAACCTTCAGTACAGCTTCACTCCAACATCAAAAGACCCCACCCCCTCGTCAACTAGCCTGCTTCATCTAGAAAGCCAGACACCCCATTTTCCCGCCCCATTCCCACCACCCACTCCGCCCCATCTCCACTACCCACAACAACTCTGTAAAAAATTTCAATCGTCCTCTACTTCTACAGAGGAGCTGGTCCCGCTCTCTGCTGTGCAGATCCCTTACGAGGATTGCGCAGCATGTTCTTGCGCTGGCCGCTAGAAGCCTGCTTTGTTGTTCTGGAGTCATTCTTTTGATGATGTGGCCGCCCACCTGCTACTGCTGTTTCTCGTTCTCGGTCTGATTTCATGTCAGTTCTCCTACTTGTGCTAGCTTTTTTACTACTTGTTGATGTTGTACTCCTAAGATCATCATCTCGAACAGCAACGTGATCGCTATCTTGATCACTCACATGTTTTCTCCCATTTTGAACTCCCGAACTAGTTTCGCGAGTTGCTCTTCTCCTGCCACTGCTAGTAGAAGTGGCTTTAGATTTTTGAGTCGTAGTCGTACTACTTCCTCTAGTCGTACTACTTCTTCCTCTCCTCTTCTCGGAAGTAGACGATGATGAAGGACCTCCTCTCATCTTGATCCCCTTCTGTAAAAGGCTTGCGCCCTCTACTTGGCTCTCAAGATTCTGAAGCTCCTTCGCCAAGGCCTGTGCTTCTGGGAGGTCCTCAGAAGATCCTGAGTCTAGAGAAGAATCTACTCCAGACGATGTAGTAGATCCTGCTAATTGATCTACCGCTTCTTGAATTCCATCTACTTCCTCTGCTGTACTGGGGGATGAACCTGAAGAAGCATCTACTTGACTATCTTCATTTCCTTCGTCGGTACTCGAAGGTCCTGTATCCTGCTCCTTCGCTGCCTCTTCTTGCAACGATTCTATCTGCTGCATCAGTTTGGATGCTTCAGGGTCCTCTAGGTCTACTAGTTGTGCACCATCTGATCCGCTACTAGAAGCTTCGATTTCGACACTAGCGTCTTCCGATGATGGCACAGCCTCTGCGGCACGTCGTGGTACCTCACCCACTTGACGGTCGTCGTCTGCATGTTCTATTACAAGACTAGGCCCACTCCTGCTTCTCGCATTTATAGGACCACCTTCACTTCTTGTTGGTGCTGTACTCCTGGACGAAGAAGCCACAACTTGCTGCTGCGACGAAGCAGTGGCTGTCGCACTGCTCATTGCTGCAAAGTATGAGCTACCACGTGCTCCAGAGTTGTTACTCGATGTAGATGTTCCATTCATCCTTGCCAAACCTGCTGAGCTGCGAGTCGTGTCTCCGCCAGAAACGAAACTGGTACTAGCGCCTCCTGGTATGTCTGTGTTCCCACCAATCTGCACATTAATCGGACCACTCTGCTGTGGTGGTGCATCTGGCGCACCTAAAATATTCTGGATGACCTCTTCTAACCACGCAGGCGCAGCGTCGTTCTTGTCTGCGCTGGTGTCGGCGTTCGGGGACAGTGAAGTCCCATCCGCGGAAGCAGAAATCGAAGGAGGAGAAAGTTCCTGGAGAGCAGTTTGCGTTTGTGCTTGATCATTTCTGTGAAATTGAAAAGATAAACAGATAGAAGGAGCTTACGATTAGGGTTGTCGATCACGAAGATGAATAACTACCGACTCAATGTTGAAGATGAACCCCTAGAAGATGATTTTCATTGAAAGTCGGTCAAGGCGAAAGCGAAACAAAGATAAAACATTATACTACAGTATCTATACCTCTTCTCCCCTGAACCAGACGAGGACTAGATCGTCTAATTCTAGATCCTTTAGTCTCTGCTGCAGAATGCTTTCCATGACGTCACTAGCTGGATCCGACAATCCCGTCTGCGGGTCCCAGATGTCCTCGAAGTCGGATAATTTCTCAGCAGGCATCCTTATCTTGACCTCAGCACCTACTTTCATGCGCAACGCTGATCGTAAGTCCACGATTTCGTCTGTCAAAGAAGTTGAAGTTGATGTCTTTCCGCCAGCCACGGTGAGCTTGGTCCGAGTTGAGACCAGACTCAATTCTGGCGCACTTCTAGTACTTCTAGTAGTTTTAAGTGTCGATCCAACACTACCAGTCTTCGACGCCAGCAACTCTGCACTACTAGCATTTGTCGGCAACTGGGTCAAATTCGCAGCTTCTTGTAGCAAGCGAATGACTCTCTCGTGACGTTCTGCTGGAGTTCGACGCTTCTTGTTCTTCTTCGACTTCGACTTCGCAGAAGTTTTTTTCTGCTTCTTGGTCTTGGACGCTTTGGAAGATGTAGTAGAAGCAGTTCCCTGTTTCTTGAGCTTATTGCCGGAAGATGTCTCGAGCAAGGATAGTGCGCCACCAGTCAACTTGTCAGCTACTGCACTGGTCTTGGTACTACTATCAGCAGCATCGTCGATTTGGTCATCTGAAGAGTCAGAATCAGCGTCCTGCTCAACATCTCCTGCATCTTCACTATCATCACCCTCATCACCCTGCTCTTCGTCTTCATCTTCGTCTTCATCTGCTTCTAGATCGAGATCTAGTGCGGCTTCCTCTGCAGCACCATCTACATCTAGCAACGCCAAGTCAGCTGCTCCGACTTCCTGTTCTTGCAAGTTCTTGAGCTCGACGTCTCTAGGAGTGATCGAGCCCTGGAACGTCTGCGTAGCCCACTGGGACATGCCGGATGTCAAGGCGAAGATAAACGCTGGATTCACGACTAGGTCTTCCATTTGTTCCGGGATCTCTTCGTCATCTTCATAGGATTCCAGCTCTCCTTCTCTTTCTTCGGCTTCTCCTTCTCTACCTTCCTCTTCGAGCAGACTAGAAGTAGTGTTCAAAGCAATAGCCGCTAGCTTGCTTCCACTTGTTGCAGACTTCTTTGAAGATGATGTTGAAGATGTTGATTTAGAGGTAGGTTTTTGGTGCTCGCGGGTTCCCCCGCTTGTTATGCCTTTCTCATCCTAAGGGAGAGAGGCATAAAAAGCGGTAAGAAAAGCACCTTTAGCCTACCCTTAATTGATGACACCTTGTTAGCAGCCGCGTTTGACTTTTTCAACGCAGCAGACCACGTCTTCATCGTCGTGTTCAAAGCCGTACGATTCAAGCGCCTCGCTTCTAGATGGGCTTTGCCTGCCTTAGCGAATCGCTGGTCGATCTCTAGGAGACTGACGCCAGACGAGCCAGCTTGTGCTGAAGCTCCACTCGACGTAGAAGCCTGAGCACCTCCGGGACCAGCCGAAGCTGTTGCGCCCCCAGCGGATGGTGCAGTGGCCCTTCTACTACCAGTTCCAGCACTGGATGAAGTTCTTTGAGCCTGTTGTACACTGCTCTTCGATGCGAGCAACAGGGTCATCGACCTATGCACCACTGCAGTCATCACTGGGACTTCGAACGTGGTGGTGGAAGTAGTCGTCGTGACTGTCGACGTTGTAGTCGGGATCGCCGTCGTCGTCGTCACAGTTGTGGTTGTTGTGCTGGTGATCGTCTCCGTGATCGTCGTGGATGTCGTTGTTGCGGTATTTGTCAACGTAGACGACGTCGTCTTCGAGTACGTGGCAGTCATTGTCGTGCTGATTGTGGTGGAAGCTGTGGTCGTACTCACTGTACTGGTGGTCGTCGTACTCGTCGATGGCCGAACTGTTTGACCTATCGGATGAGCCTCTGGAATCGGTGTAGTCGAGTCACCTGCAGGAGCACCTGCGGAGGAGGTTCCATTGACTCCTCCTGCCGCAAGAACAGCAGCTGACGTAACACGACCAGCAACGGCTCCTGTTGTGGTCACGACCTCAGCCGGTTTTACCACGACACCAGAGACAACCGCATTGAAGCTGGTCTGCGAACTGATGCTGGATTGCAAGGATGTTACGAGAGTCGTCACATTCGCTGCTGGCAGACTCCCATTCGATGGCCAAACGTTGTTTGCTGTTTGCAGCTGTGCAGGTGACATCTGGATCGCGGCTTGGACGGAAACACTCACTGTTCCCTTTGTCGAATCAGCACCATCAGCGCCACCGCTTGCCGCTAAAGCTTCAATTCCTCTCTGGGTCTCAGAATCAGAACTACTTCTGGCTAACAAGACCGACGAACCACCAGTGTCTACGGTGACTGTGAAACTGCTGACGCTAGATGCATTCAAGCCAGACACGCCCAGAGCTGAGAAAGTGGCGACAACGCCAGCTTTCAGAGCTGCATTTACGTTAGGGTCTGCGGCAAAATTTGCAGCGGTCTGTCCTCCACCAAGTGACATCGACATACGGAAGACTACAGCCTTAGTAGGTGCAACAGCAGCAGAAGTGGTGGTTGTGGGAACCTGAGTTGTGGATAGTGAAAGTGATGTTCAGAGCAGTTGTGGATAGAAGTTGTGCTTGTGATGTTGAGATTCAGACGAGTGCGAAGATGATCGTGGCAGGAACGAACCTTGTTCCGTTGAAGAGAGATGCATAGAAGTAAGTAGACCGTAATTTTAGCAAAGCCAAAGTCAAAGTCTCATGATCCCCAAAAAACAGGTACTTACTTATATGATTGTAGCACAAGGTAGTTCAAAGACGTTGTACTTGTACTTCATCAATAGCATACTAGTACCGTAGTTTCCTCAACCGCAGCAGTGGTGGTGGTAGTTGCAGTTGTCGTAGTCTCAGTTGTCGATGTCTCGGTCATTGTCGTTGTCGTCTTGTCGTCGGTGGTGGTAGTGGTAGTGGTGGTGGTGGTCGTGCTTGACGTGCTAGTATCGCCAAGCGTTGTTGTCGTGCTTGACGTAGTGGTCGTCGAGCTCGTAGACGTAGACGAAGCTACTGTAGTCGTCGTCGCTGGAGCAACTGTTGTTGTTGTCGTCTCCGTTGCTGCGCTTGTGGCTGGAACCACTCCTGTCGAAGCAGAGGCCGCCGCAGCGCTAGTACCTGCTGTGGAGGCTGCAGCAGCAGCAGCAGCAGTTCCCGTAGGAGTCGTTCTTGAGAAGGCAACGGGCGTCGCGGAACCCGAAGTAACTACAGCGACTGCAGGCGTCGTTGCTGCAGGAGCGGCGGCTACCGTAGTTGCTGCAGGAGCGGCGGCTACCGTAGTTGCTGCGGGAGTGTCTGCAACTGTTGTAGATGTTGCTGCGGGAGCGGCGGCTACCGTAGTTGCTGCAGGAGCGGCGGCTACCGTAGTTGCTGCAGGAGCGGCGGCTACCGTAGTTGCTGCAGGAGCTCCTGCAACTGTCGTAGTTGCTGCGGGAGCGGCGGCTACCGTAGTTGCTGCAGGAGCTACTGCCACTGTTGTAGTTGTTGCTGCAGGAGCGGCTGCGACTGTTGTTGTTGCTGCAGGAGCGGCGGCTACCGTAGTTGCTGCAGGAGTGTCTGCAACTGTTGTGGCTGTTGCTGCAGGAGCAGCGGCTACCGTAGTTGCTGCAGGAGTGTCTGCAACTGTTGTTGTTGTTGCTGCGGGAGCGGCGGCTACCGTAGTTGCTGCAGGAGCAGCGGCTACCGTGGTTGCCGCAGGAGCTCCTGCAACTGTTGTAGTTGTTGCTGCGGGAGCGGCGGCTACCGTAGTTGCTGCATGAGCTACTGCCACTGTTGTAGTTGTTGCTGCGGGAGCGGCGGCTACCGTAGTTGCTGCAGGAGCAGCGGCTATCGTGGTTGCTGCAGGAGCTACTGCAACTGTTGTAGTTGTTGCTGCAGGAGCAGCGGCTACCGTAGTTGCTGCAGGAGTGTCTGCAACTGTTGTAGTTGTTGCTGCGGGAGC